AGCTAATTTTAATCACTTATACGTATTTGGAGCAATAAAAAAATTAATAATCCCGCTAAACATAGTATTGAAACCGTTTGATCTTTTGGTCTTTCATATCAACTGTAGAAGCTACGTGCTTTTTGAATTTTGGCGTATTATTTTTAGAGTGTGGCAAAGACATCGTCGTCGTCATTTGCTATATGTTTTTGAATCATTTATAATTATCTCTGCCTCTACTTGTAATTGATTTTCTGACAAGTTACTTATGTCTAGAGCCTCTTCATGACTGCTATCTTCGTTAGTCTCTTCCCCATCTATGGGTGGGAAAATAATTACGTTATCACGAAGTTCATTATCTAACAAATTTTCTATCTCGTCCATTAACTCCAGTACCTAAAGTAAAGTACATATAATAAGGCATTTTAGATACATACACAAAATATCTTTGAAATTAAAGGATTTAAATAATATATTTTACTCACCTTTTATCAGTTGGAAACTATAAACAGTCTTTCAGGTAATCTCAAAAATTCTGCCGAAATACTAGATTATTAGAATGATTATTTTTTAATAAGGTGGCTTTTTGTTACACAAATCACCACGCGCTATCTCTTAATAACTAGCAATATAATTAAATTATAGGCATATTTGTAACGAAGTCGTTTAAAAGGACAGTGGCCTTCAATACCTTCAATGGGAACAAACAAACTTAATAGGTTTCCACGTATTGGCCAAGCCAATTAACGCAGCAACATAATCACTTAGAGAGAGAAAAGTAATGAACACTAATGTATCAAAAAAGAAAATACCATGGTTTAGAGAGGAAGTGAAGACAATATGTGAAGAAAAGAAGAAAGTCTATTTACAATATAGAACACAACAAACACAACACGCATACAACCACTATAAACAAATCATCAATAATAGCAATACTTTAGTTAGACAAATTAAAATAGAACACTGACAGAGTTTCTCAAAACAGATGGAACACTATTTCTACGCAACACAAAAAGAAATATAGAGAATAATTAGAGCACAAAGAAAAGACATGAACGAACTAATAAAAACGAAACAAATTCAGAAGGAAATATGGGTACACTACTTTCGATCCCTGTTTGCCAAAGGTGACGATGATGAACCACCAACATCAGAGGTCACGACAAACGAAGAAATAAATATTCAGGAGGAAGAAGTAAAGGACGTATTAAGGATATTAAAAAATAGAAAATCACCAGGACAAAATACCGAATAAACTCCTAAAGTACGGATGACTAGATCTGACCAAACAAATATTAAAACTAATTTAAAAAATATTAGAACAAAATAGATTTCCTTGAGAATGGAGATCAAGCATCCTAATACCCCTCTTTAAAAAGGGAGACAAATCGGACCTGGAAAATTACATATTGTAATTTTCCCAATTATAATATTGGGAAAGAAACGAAAGGCCGAATTTACAGAACAGTTATAAGACCAATAATAACATACGCGGCAGAAACAAGACCTGACACAGAGAGGACAAAAAAGATGTTTTTTGAAAGGAGATGGTAAGACACTATAGGACAGAGCTAGAAGTACAGATATACAACATAAATGCAAGGTGGAGAACATCAAAAACATTGTAAAAAATGGAATAGTAGAATGAAACGATCATATAAGCCGAATGTAGGAAGTAGTAGCAGTAGGAAGACCACGAAAACGATGGAATGACAACTTACTGGAGGCACATTGAAAACCAGACAGAGTCATGTCTATATAAAAACAAGAAGAGAAAGAAATATTGGCCAAGATTTTTTTTAATTTAGCTTTTAATAATTATCTTAAAAATTTATAATTTATTACTTACAATCCTGTAAATTGTCTTACATTATATTATGGAGATTTAAAAAAATTATGGTAAGTTTTATACAAGAAATTTATGGTGTCTAACCAAATATGTTAACTAAATCAATTATATTCAAATAATTGGAAATTTAAACCTATAAACTGCTTTATTGAAGAAATAGCAAGGTTTTGTCTTTATTTTGAATTATAAAAATATGAGACAACACAATATTAAGGCTGTTTTAGCAGTCAAAACACACTGCGATTTGAAATGGGCGTATCACTTACTTTTCTACACTGCTTACGCCAGCCGACGACGGGTACAGCTGTTTTCGCAGTGGCGCCGGCCGGCGCGGCGGTTGGTTTAATGACAACAAATGCATTATGCTTAGGGTGACCATAATTTTTCAGCAAAAAAAAAGTACATTTATAATTTTTAAGAAAACATGTACACTGATAGTGCCCTAGGAAATTTTTCTGGTCAAAATTTTACGAATCTTTAATGAAACAATGATAAGAACGATTTTTTTAATCAAACTTAAGTACATAAAAAATGTATGATAAATTTTAATAATTAATTTTCTTTCGACGTTCCTTTCTGAACATCTTGATCATCATTTTGGTACCAGTCGTACTTTTTGGAACTATGAATTGCCTTCAGAAGTTGTGGTTTACTCTTTAAGAACTGAAACATTTCATAACACGAAACTTTGAAGTTTGTGTAGACTTGCATGATGGCTTTCAGAGTAGATATTTTCAACTGCGATTTGTTGGGACTCCAATAGTTATTGATATTTAAGAACAACCGCTCAATCGACGCACTGGTCCCGGCAGACAAAAAACAAACTTACATAAAATTTTGAGATTTTTCAAAGCCCTTTCTTTTTGGAAAATTTCGAGCCATCGATCTTCGGTAGAAATATTTTTCGAATTCCAGTCTGTGATTTTATTTTCTGTAACGTAACGTTTCCTCTAACTTCATCAAACAGTTCGTCCTGATTCAATATCGAACCTACGTAGTCTTTGAAAGCCTCACACGACGATAAAATCTCAGCCCAAGAAACTTGTTTTTTCAAGTTAACTCATCCAAATAGTTTTAGTTCACTTAAATTTTCACTCCAGTTTTTCAAATATGTTACACAATTTGAATAGAACTGCTTGACATGCGTGATAAAGATATCCCGATAGTTCACACTAAGATCAAGGTCTTCCATATTTTCAAGTTTTGAAAGGGACACTCTTACTTTAAGCGGTAACAATAACTTATTTAAGTGATTTTGAAGCTTATTTATGAGTTTGAAATACTCCAAAGCGGCTTCCGTTGCGCATATGTCACCTTCTACATCTAAAATTACTTTGTGGAAGAGAGACGCAATGTTATGCACAAACCACATCCATGTTTCACTGATTGGGTTTAGAAAAAACTGTTTTAGAACTGTTGGACAATTATCAATCGACAAAAAATATGTTTTCAAGGGTTCGAACATTTGTATAGTTGGTTCAATGGCTGGCGTAGGCTCAAAAATCTTGTTTTTGAAAACGAAAACATTTTTTGTACTCGATATCAACAAAATCGCAAAACTGTTTTAATTTCTCCACTCTGACTGTAAAAATATAGAAATACTTAAAAATCTTAAACGCAATAACCTCGATGTCTATGGGTAAGACGACCGTCGCATTTTGTAAACAGTTATTAAAAATGCGTGCCAGACAACCAATTCCAATCACGGGTTTACCAAGAGAAGCATTTAATTTGCCGAATAGATTATTCACTCCTTTTTTTCTCATTCCACCAAAATTTGTATTTGTATTATCAGCAGACATTCCGATGAATTTTTGTAGTAAATTATGGTGGTTCAAAACATCGACCACGTAATCTTTTAACTGCTCTGATGTTTCACCAGGTAAGTCACGTAGCTGAAGTAATTTTACTTGGACACCATTTTCTCCATCAAAATATCTTATCATTAATTTTTTAACATTTTTTACAATCGCCTCAGTCTTGGTTCGAGCTGCCGCAAATTTAGGTTCAAACATGCTTACAATTAATTTTGACGTGCAGTCTAAGGATCTAAAACTTTGCAAATGATTAATTTTATGGTAACCAAAAGTACCTTCCTTGGCAGCAATCAACATATTTTCATAACTTAAATTTTTTTTTTTAACAAAGGTTTTCAATTTGCTGCTCTTCGAGTTCGCATTAGTAGCCAACATGTGTTTTTTCTTTGACAAATGTTGTTTGATATTGATGCGACCACTGTTAGAAATATCAACACCACTTTTACAAACTTGGCAAAACACAATATGAGGTACATTTGATTTTTGTTTCATAAAAGGATACTCTGCTTAAAACTCGACGTTAAAATGGCATTTTCTTCTAGGCGGTGGCATGATGAAATTGTTTATTTTTCCACACAGCACAAAATAATATAAAAAACGATGAAAAGTGTCGGTAAAAAGTAATCAACAGTGAGCGCATCAATTCAAATCATAATTATATTTTGTTTGGACAAAAAGTAGGACTTAATTTTGTGTAATTAAGAAAAAGAATACATTTAGGTGTACTTCATAAATTTTAAAGTACAATAGGACAGCGTTTGAAAAGAAAGTACTGTCCTACTAAAAGAAGTACATATGGTCACCCTATATGCTCCATTCAAATTACTTTTGTCGGGAATACCTTTTTTGTTTGATTGTCGTAGATGTCTTAAAAATAATTATCACATTTTTCATTTATATGTCTTAGCTAAATATAGTATTGAATAAAAATTTGTGAAATGTGACTGCAAAAAACAAGATGGTGTTTACTTATAATAAATTTAAAATAACATAAAAATATTACTATAATCGAAAAAAAAATCGACGATTACAGAAAAAAAAACTCTTTCAAGTGATGGGCGTAAAAAGTTTGGTTATAATAGAACGTTAAACTGCATAATCCGATATTTCAAAAGAACTTTCAAAAAAATTAAAAAAGTAAAACCATCAGTTTAAAGGCAACATCATTTTGAATAACGTGTCCAAATTTCGAGACAATTTGTCGGTAAATAACAGAGAAAACACTGTATATAGGTTTTGGTGTACCCATAAAACAGCCTTAACACAAACATGTAGCCACCACAAAATGAATTTAGAGATATACTAGATATTGTTGAAATGTAGCAATGATTTCTCATTTAAATAATCTGTTACAGGACACAACATCGGAATGGGTCACGACGACGGAAGGGAGGAATGTTCGTGCAGAGATTGGCACGGCTGTATAATGGCGCAAGCCATCGTTGGTCAGGACAACGTTCAACCGTATAAATTTTCAGAATGCAGCAAAGAAGACTATATCGATAGGTTAAGGACTGGAAACGGAATATGCCTTTTAAATAAACCAAACGAGCTTGCAGTAAGTAAAGCAACCTTTAACTTTATCAATTATTTTACTCATATTTCTCTCTATTATTATTTAAATGCAGCCCTCACCAATAATTCTTCACGTAAAAAAATTTAAAAAATATACTAGATTATTGTTCATGTTTTCAGGATCGCCGAACTTGCGGTAACAACATAGTAGAAGACGGAGAAGAATGCGATTGCGGAAGCATCGAAAACTGCCACAAAAACAATCCTTGTTGTGATCCAATCACTTGTAAACTGACCAAAGAGGCGCAATGTGCCGATGGTGTCTGCTGTGAAGACTGTCAATTAAAAGAGAGGGGTATGGTGTGTCGAGAATCTACGAACGAATGTGACTTACCCGAGCACTGTACGGGTTTATCGGGGGAATGTCCAGTAGATATGTTTAAGAAAAATGGAAGCCCTTGCGAAAGCGGTACGGGTCAATGCTTCAATGGGATATGTCCAACTTTAAGTGTGCAGTGCGAGCATATATGGGGATTAGGTAAGTTTATTTGTCATTCGATAAAATCGACGATAATGCATTAACTTGTGTCAAAGTTTAAGATTACGTGATTTATTTTTGTTCTTTGAGTGTATACGTAGCTTGTTTTTTATTATTAGCGTGTTTAAAGTTAGGGTAAGTCCGGGAGAGATGGCTCACACCTTTTTGACTGTCTGTATCTCAACACAAAAAATTCTACGCTCCAAAATTTTGATATATTTATATTAAAATACCGTTAGAAGAAAGTGTACAGAGTTATTTAATGCAAATACTTACATACAAAAACAGTACACATCAAAATACAAAAAATTGTAAAAGGCTAACTCACCCGATATGTCAGGGTGAGATGACTCGTACACTAAGGGTGATATGGCTGGATCATAAACTTTATTTGGCACGTTTTTTTGCCAATACTCTTCCACATATATCACATAAATTAACATATTTTTCAATGCACGCACAGTACCCAGTCTTCTAGTTTCGATGTGGTTGAATATATTTCCCCACAGTCGGCACACTCACAATTTGTTTATTCTTGTAGATCATCACTAGAGTCTTTAGTAATTTCCATTATGATCGTCAGAGTCTTCGGGAGCAAAACATCTTCTTTTGGTTCTTGAGTTTCTTGACTTTTTTTTTAGAGGCCCCTTATTATTTTTAGCATTTTTTTCTTTTAACATCTGAATCTTTGCATATCGCCAAATTCACTGGGCTAGTAAGTACTGCAGCCAATTGTCGACCGGGTTTCCTTACTTGTAAAATATCTGATGTAGAAGATACTGGAGAGATATTAGTTAAACTTTTACCGGGAGTGATTTTTTCTTTACAGGTCGGCTTACGACCAGGTATAGATGGTAGTTCTAATTTGAGATTCATTTTAACAAATGAATTGCAAGCATTGTGATAATGTGACTTGAGCGACTTAAAAAATGAACGGTCTAATTTGCAAAAACTGTGTATTCTGTCTCGGTTAACACAGTAGGATGACTACAGTAGGATTTGGACGAAGTTGCAATGACATTCATGACCATCCAAAACCAGTAGGACTTTTCCTGGAGTCTTTCTAGAAACAAAGTGATGTGTTAACCAATCCAAAAATATATCTGTGTTTATGTAAGCGGACTTTTCATTCAAGTTAATCTTTGATCCTACGGGCATGCCGTCCCTTTAAATATGCACGTTTGGGATAAGGGAGTTACCCTCAGCATTGCAACAGGTAATAAATGTAATTATATCCCCCTTCTCCGAAGAAGTTTTTGATGCTACATTATTAGATCCCTTTTGGTCTACAACAAATGAGGCTATGAGAGCAAGAGTGAGCTAACCAAAATTTTGTTGATAGTTGAGTTATAGATTGCGATCACTTCTAACAACCTAAAGTTTTAAAGCAAAACCGGTAAAACCAACATTCTCCTATATTATAACATAAATCTCTCCAGTAAGGTGATTTTGCATTGTAGAAAATAATTAAAAATTGAAAACACGAATGGGCTAACCCACCAAGTTGTGGAATAGACCAAAATTGTTCAATACATAAATACGTAAAAGAATTCAAGAGTGGGCTAACCATCCTCTTTGTAGGATAGACCGGTTTTAACTGCTAATCAAAAGTACGTATCACACAATCTAACCTTCCAGGGAATAGATGTTTGAGTTAAGGTGGAAATTAGACTGTGTAGTAAAGTACCTTTCTTTTTAATCGTATCCTGTCGTTGCGCTTGGATGCGCTATGGTATACGGTACCTACCTACGTGTTCTGCGTTTGTTATTCTCAGAAAGATCGAGGCGGTGAGTAAGTGTTGTTTAGTTTATGCAACGTGTTGTTGAATACCATTATATTAATATAATTTTATTTTAAACTGAGAATCTGAAACATCAAATGGAAAGTCACAATAGTAGTAATAGAGTTCTAAGTTCTCAACAGTTCAAGCAGAAAAACGTAAATTTGAAGTAACACTAGATGTGTTATGAAACAAGATACAGAGTATGCAAAACAAAATGCTGAAGAAATTACAGTGATTGCAATTGACTTAATGCGAACGTTGCCCACACCATTTATGAGCACTGGAATTTCTTACTATAAACGCCAGTTGTGGACTTACGTCTAAGGAGTCCATAATTTAGCTACTAATAATGCTCATATGTATGTTTGGAACGAGACACAAGCATCACGAAGACCTCAAGAAATAGAAATCTGTTTAATGCAATATTGTAAAAATGTTGTTAAAACAAAAAATGTAAATTCCGATCAATGCAGAGGGCAGAACCGTAACATTAAAATGGCTGTCCTTTGCGATTTTATTGTGTGACATCCTATTATTGTGGTGATAAATATTGATCATAAGTTTTTATTCGGCGGATATTCTTACCTTGCCTGTGACCAAGATTTCGGAGTAATAAGTAAGCAATTTTTTTTCAAGATATCTACGTACCTGACGACTGGATAAAGGTAAAAGCACATGCACGAAAGAAAGCATATTTTGCGGTAATAAGGATGACAGAAAACGATTTTTGTTATACTAAGAAATTAGAAAAAATATAACAAATCGCAAACTTCAAAAGTCCAATGGTTACAAATTCAGTGATTGCAATACAAGAAAACAAATCCATTTACAATTTACTACAAATACAGCAATAATGCAGATGTTCTCTTTTACTCACTAGATGTCAAAAAGAGGACATCCAGGCAAATACTTCAGCTAGATTATCTTTATCCCAATGGACGTCCAATAACCGAAGCGCAAAAAGTTCTTTTGGAATTACTTTTATTTATATCTCCAATACATCATGGATTTTACACAAGCACCAGAACAATAAGATCCACTATACAGCAAGAAGAAGAGTTCATTAACAATGAAGATTAAGTATTTTTGTTACTATTATGTTTTTTATTAAAGTATATTTCCAACATTGATGTTGTTTAATTGTATTTTACTCTAGGCCTAATCCACATTCCTATTAAAATTTTTAAGGACACACTGATGCAAAAGCGGTCTAATCCACAAAAAAGCTTAAATTTTTATATTTTTATTAAATATACTGCAAGATCTTCGAGTTTTTTGTTATTAGTTAATGATTTGTAAACAAGAACTACCTTTTGGCATCATATTTTAATTTTTTAAAATTTCAAAAAAGCGCATATATTCTTGGTTCATGTAAATCCATTATTCAATATTTGGGGTTAGCCTACTCTTGCTCTCATAACCTCAAATGCAGGTTTGCCTGAATAGAATTAGAATAACTTGCCTGAACAGATCAAAGTTGAAAGTAATCGCTTACATCTTTTTTGTTCATGCCTCGACTTCTTGCTAAGGATACGCCTTCTGATTTTCTTATACTCCAGCCAGGGTTTCTTCTTAAGAATGATTGTAACCAGTCAAATCCTGCAAGTTTTTTTTCTTGTTGAAAGTAGTTTTAACATGTAATTCTTCCACTAATCGTAACGCAATTTCTCTAACTCCAGCTCTTGTAGGTGCAAAACCAGCTTTCTGCAACTTTAGGATATTTATTTTTGTCGGTCAGATAGCCAACTGTGCTGGGCGGCCGGTTTCTCATTCGCTTCACTGCGAGTGGTTCAGAGGAAGTAAGTTCGATCCCCAGCTCGGTGTACAGAAAATAAAAAAGCTATCGCAGCAGTTTAAATTCTAAATGAATCTGCGGCTTAGACTAAAATATGCTGGTGTCTGATCGGTCTATGGTGGAGCAGTACGGCAAAAGATAATGGCTTGCGGCTCGGTGATACTCCTCCATAGATACCTACCGGTAGGGCGTGTGCCGCCTAAATACCGGGTACATATATTTTTTATTTTCATTTTATTCCCCGAGGACATTACTTGCTCCTAAGGCACTTTTTTTGAATTGATAATTTTCATTCTTCTTCTTAATGTCTGGAACTTCAAAATTCCTAGCGGTAGCATTAAGCTTCATTTGTCCACTTCTTACGGCATGTATGGCTGATTTGAGTTGATTTTTAGTCCATAAGCTACGTTGGCAATTTCCTTTTGTAATATACATTGTTGGTATGGCTGAAAATAAATTTATCTATTAAAAATTTCACTATATAAGTAACTAAATAGCTAGGCAGTATCTCCCTAACATTTGCGAGCCAACTAACCCGAATTGTCAATGTGAGATGGCCCACTTAATTTCCATGTGTTGGTAATGTTTAAAATGACTGGCAACTATGCCTACATAACCTCAACAATACAAACAACATGGCATCAAAACGTGACTTCGATAAAATACAAACAAAAATAAGTACACAATAGTTTTAACGATTACCGAAAAAAGTTTTAAGAAGATGTAAAGAAGAATTTCTAAATATCTTACCTGTCAACCTTGAGAAAACATGAAATTTACAGAGTAGTACTAATACCATACGCACGCATCAAATAACGCAATGCAATTGACTCCAAATAGGATAAAACTGTGATATATTGGACTGAGTCATCTCACCCGACGAGCCATCTCCCCCGGACTTATGTTTTTCTTAACATTTTTCATATTTGGTAATTCATTGCTATTTATTTTTTCTTTTTTGACCTTACTTATTTTTATAATACAATTCTGTATTCGATTTTGGGTAAATCATATTTCCTTTGTGTAACATATGTTGTGATCATCATTTATCATCATGCGTGATTTTTTTTATCACTTTGTTTATCATCATGCGTGATTTGACTTTCACAAAAAAAAACATATCTCAAACCAAATTTTTTTAAATTCTCTCATTTAATCGGTTTTAACACTTCTTTACCTATTGCAATTTGATAATAAATATCTAGATGATTTTGTTAGTATTCATCATCTAATTACTTTTATTTTCAGGAGGAATTGAAGCGGACCCACAGTGCTTTGAACAATTTAATTCAAAGGGTTCAATCAACGGTCATTGCGGAAGTGACAGTAATGGTAGATTCGTTAAGTGTTCGTTAGATAACGTGAAATGCGGCTCGTTGCAATGCCAGTTAGGAAACAGATATCCAGTAGTAGAAGGATTGGACCAACCGCAAGATCATTCTAGGACTATCATATCTATCAAAGGTCATGAATACGAATGCAAGTAAGTCAATTAGAGATTTTTTAGTGAATGTCGTAATGACTGCATGCCTTTTTGCAAAATATGTTTTAAAACTAAAATACCATTATGGAAAAATACGTGTCTTTTCTTTCTTATTGTATCGTTTTCTTTATGGAAAATTTATTTTACGCGCCAATGTTCCCCAAATTTAGTCTAAATTCAGTGTCCATAATGCGTACGCACTTTGTATAAAACATTCAGAGTTCACGTTTAAAACTGAAGATAAGTTTATATGTCATGATGGTAAAATGTAGTAAATTATCTTTTGTAGTAAACTGTCTTTTTCATTCATAGAGCAAATACTCAACCATACATAATTGGTCCCTCTAAATGGATATTATTTCCATAGTTAATTAATACACAGATAATATTGGAGATTGTAAAGTGAAGCCATGCCGAAAAAGCGATTCTACAGTTGGATAAGTGGTTGCCTCCGAGAAACCATATGAAGAAACAAATAGCTGACCACGGAGAGCAAAATGAAAGTATACAAGACAACCGTAAGACCCATCCTAACATATGCAGCGGATATAAGGACTGATACAAGAAAAACGAAACAACAAATCAACAATATAGAAATGAAAGTATTAAGATCAATAGCAGGCACATCATTAACAGACAGACAAACCAACAGAAGTATACGCAAACAATGCAAAATTCAAAATATTAACGGGTGGATAAAAACAAGAAAAAACAACTGGAACAAACATGTAAACCAAATGGGACCAGATAGAGTAGCGAACATCTGTAAAAACAACAAACTGTATAGCAGAAGACCCGTTGGAAGGCCGCCAAAAAGGTGAAAAGATAATGTACAGTCAACAACGACTGAAACAGAATAAGAGGCAGACAAACAGGAGTACTCCTAGTCGCACAAAGAAGAAGAAGAAAGAAGAAAAAGAAGAAGAAGAAGAAGACAGTTGGTTTTAAAACCCATAGACAGAACCAGCTCCTTAAATAATCAGTAAATTTATAATTCAACATTCAAGGCCCTGTTTGCTATAGAATATTCATCTGGGTGACTAGAATTTCATCTGAACAACTAGAACTTCAGAGCGATACAATCAAAAATACATTCTAGTCTTAGTGATGCCATTAGCAGAATACCAGTTGCGTATCCAAAAAAGCCATGTAATATGTATCATGCAGTAAGAATAATTCACTATTTGTGTATTTTGGCCTATTCCACTGTGACCTTTTCAGATCTATTGTGGTCCTTTAGTCTTAGATTACATTATATAGCCTGACCTTAAAATGTCTAATTATTTCTCGACTGAACCTTCCATGTAGCTCAACAAAAATTAGTTTCCAAAAAACACAATTGAGTTTTCCTGTCTGTTTAGGTACAGGTAAACTCATCACTAATTAGCATAAATGCCCTCGTAGAAAGTACAAACTCATCACCAAAATAAAAGCAGGTATTTTAAAATAGACCCGGAGAGTTCTGCAAACTGATTACTGGCCTACCAGCATCTCGTGACAGTTAAATGGTTGCAAATAGCTAAGGTTTGATAAGTTGAAAAAATAATCCAAGTATGAATGCAAATAAAAAAACAAAGTTAAGTAGTATATCAGATATAACCGGAAATAGCACATGCCCACAAATATTTTTATTAAAAAGTTCACTATTAAAAACTGAGCTAAACGCAATGTAGCTGAATTTTCAGATTTTAATTCCATTGAGATTGACAAATATGTCTAATAAACCGCTCACCGGGACAACTGATATATATCTTCTTCTTCTTCCTATGCCGTCCCCATTAACGGAGGTTGGCGACCACATTTTTAAAAGCTTCTCTGTCTTTTGCAACGTGGAATAATTCGTACACAGTCATGTTTGTCCAGTCTCGAATATTTCGCAGCCATGACTTCCTTTTTCTACCTATTCCCTTTTTGCCATCGACTCTACCCTGCATGATGACCTGCAGAAGACTATATTTATTATTTCTTAGTATGTGTCCAAGGTATGCAGTCTTGCGTACTTTTATCGTTCTCAACAATTTTTTGACTCGACCCATTCTTCTCAGCACTTCCTCATTGGTGACCCTGGCAGTCCATGGGATTCTCAACATTCTCCGGTATATCCAAAGTTCAAAGGCTTCAATCTTTTTAACTATTTGCGCTTTTAGTGTCCATGTTTCAACCCCGTACAATAATTGCGACCAGACGTAACATTCAACAAACCTCAGTCTCAGCGCAATATTCAGATTTTTGTCACAGAACAATTGTTTGAATTTTAAGATTGCTGCCCTTGCCATTTCTATTCGTATCTAGATCTCTTGGTCTGGATCTAATTCTGTGTTGATGTAAGCTCCCAGATATTTATATTTTGTCACTCTCTCTATTTGCTGTCCACCAAGAGTTAGTTGTTCATTATTTATTGGACTCCTTGATACTATCATAAATTTGGTCTTATCTGTGTTGATGTCAAGTCCCATTTGAATGCATTCACTATTTATTGCATCTAGTAAAGTTTGTAGATCTTCTATACTCTCAGCCATAATTACCGTGTCATCTGCAAATCTCATGGTGTTTATGATTTCTCCACCAATTCTTATTCCCTCTTTTCTTTCCCATAAGGCTTTTCTGAATATGACCTGTGAGTACACGTTGAAAAGCGTCGGAGACAAGACGCATCCTTGCCTAACCCCTCTCGCAATCGGTATATTATTTGTTTCTATATCGTTCACCTTTACTACTGCTTTCTGGTTCCAGTATATAGCCTTAATAAACTCAATGTCTTTTTTGTCTAAATTGATGTTTTTTAATTCATCTATTAACTTCATATGCTGCACTCGGTCAAAGGCCTTCCTAAAGTCTATGAAGCATACATATGCACTCTTGTTATATTCCCGACATTTCTGCAAGAGTACCGTCAACGCAAATAATGCCTCTCTTGTTCCCATGCCTCCTCTGAAGCCAAACTGAGTTTCATCTATCTGTTCCTCACATTTCTTATAAATTCGGTTTTGAACAATTTTCAAAAGAATCTTTAAAGGGTGGCACATTAGGCTTATTAATCTATAGTCATTACATGATTTGGGATTGTTGTTTTTTGGTAGAGGTAAAAATATCGATTTAAGCCATTCTTCCGGGATGTTGCCCTCTACATATATGTGGTTGAGAATTCGGGTGAGTCTCTTTATATTACCGTCATCTAAGGCTTTTAACAGTTCAACTGGAATTTGATCAGGACCCGGTGCTTTTCCTTGTTTTGCATTCTGTAGGGCATTCTTTACTTCTGAGGGTAAAATTTGTAGGTATTGTTTTTCTTCACCTATATCTTGTTCATTTTCTCTCTCGTCATGGAAAAGATGGATTATATATTGTTCCCATACTTCCTTTATTTTGCTCTCTTCAGTAAGTATTTCTCTATTATTATCTCTTGTTATGAGTGTTCTTCTTTGTCTGGTGTTGCCTGTAAGTTCTTTAATTTTTTTATGTAAGTTTGAGGTGTCATGTTTGTTGCTGAGTTCTTCCAATTCCTGGCATTCTTTGTTCATCCATTCCTCCTTAGCCTTTCTGATTTCATATTTGATTTTATTCTTGATGGTTTTATATTTATTTTCATCTTTATTTTTGTATTTTCTTTTTTCAGTTATTAGCTCAACTATTTCCGGTGTCATCCAGTCTTTTTTAGTTATTTTCCCTTCTTCGCCTAGGACCTCCTTTCCCGCTTTTAGTATGGCTTTTTTCATATCTGCCCATTCAACGCTTCCTTCAGTTAATTTATTTATCTCTGCGTTTAGTTGCTGTTGGCAGTTGTCGTCTTTTAGGTTTTTGATGTTAATTTTGGTGGTTTTACCTTTTTTCTCCGGTTTCCTGAGTTTAATGTTGACGTTTGCTAGTAATAGATTATGATCCGTATCTGCATCTGCGCTTGGATAGGTTTTTGCACTTTGTACTCCATTACGAAACCTTTTGTTAATCGTTATAAAATCTATTTGGTTTCTGATTATATTGTTGGTGTTATCTTTTGGAGAAGTCCACGTGTATAATCTTCGTAGGGGTAGGTCGTAGTATGTATTTGTTATGACTAATTCTTTCTCCTGGCAGTACTGGACTAGTCTGTCTCCTCTTTCGTTTCTTTTACCTAACCCAAAATTTCCTACTATATTTCCAGTTTTTCCTCGACCGACTTTAGCATTAAAGTCGCCCATAATTATTTTTACCTCCTGCTTCTTTATGTTTTTTGTTAACAGTTCTAAGTCCGCGTAGAATTTTTCGACCTCGGCATCATTGCTATCAGATGTTGGAGCATACACTTGGATTAGATTTATGTTTAGAGGTTTGGCTTTCAGCTGAAGTAGCATCATACGTTCGTTAAAGGGAATGAAATTTGTCACAAACTCTTTTAAGTTATTGTTGATAATAATACCAACACCATGGCTGTGTTCTCCAGTGCTTTTGCCTGAGTAGAAAATAGTATTATTATCCTTGGTGTAGTTTCCAGACTTTGGCCATCGGACTTCTGAAAGGCCCAATACTTGTATGTCTAATCTCTCCATTTCTAACATGACTGTTGTTAATTTTCCTGCTTCATAAAGTGTTCTTATATTCCACGTTGCTATGCGTTTTAAATCGCTTACACTAAATTTGTTTCTCCACCCGGGGATTCTTCGCACCCCTGTCCCATTAAAGGGACGCCGGGCACTCGGGGCCACTGTTTGATTTACGTCCATTTGTGGTTGTTCTTGAGAATCCTTAGGGATCTTTAATGCAGTGGTTTCTCCTTGCTTTCTGCATCCTTATGCCGTTGATCTTGGTTCATCCGCCTTTGTGATCGATTTCTCAATCTCAGGACAAAAGAGTGCCCTTCCACTTACCAACTCATCCGCCCGAAGCCGTTGGTCAGTAAGTGGGGGTTTGCTTATACCGGCAAACATTCGGTGATTTCGCAGTGTCACAACCGGTTAAATCATAATTACCGCCTGTGATTATTCAGTATCAGACCGGTAAAGAGATTTTCTCTACCGCTCCGA